AAGCTCTTGGCTCCCACCGAGCAACGTCTAAATTGGTAGCAAACTGACAAAAAAGACTCTGCTCGATAGGAAGACTAAACAGATTATCTCTGGTCTGGATTCCTGGCCATACTAGCCTGGAAGGCAATGAAGCTGCTGACTCTCTTGCAAAGGAGGGTGCTGCAAGCGGTTTCATTGTACCAGAACCTATCATTGGCATCGCTTTGGGCTTTGCCAAACAAACATTTAACACCTGAACTACGATGTCTAACAGGCCTTCTTAAAGGTCACTGTCATTTGAATCATCACATGCAGAGACTTGGACTGTCGTAAGACAGTGTGTGTCGCCTCTGTCTGGAAAATGATGAAACAGCAGAGCATATACTTTGTGCCTGCCCCGCTGGGGACCGAATCAGGTTCTTTGAGTTCGGCAGATCCGTACTCTCATCATCTGACCTGAAAGACTACTCACCATAAAAACTAATCGGCTTCGTTAAGAAGCTGGGTTTATTTGGCCGAGTGTGAATAGGTGTGAGCCGCAATGAACCCTTATGGGTTGCGGTGGAGGGTCGAATAGACCCACTCACTTTAGACCTACCTACCTACTAATGTTGTAACTTACAAAACAAGTTGACAAGGCGTTGCTACGGAAATCATTTACGGTTTTTTAAAGGGTATACCATCTAAAAAGAACATTGCTATGGTTTTTGCTTACTTCCTTATTATCAATACCTCAACATAAAATAAGTTTAGAATATAATTGCAATAAGTTTTGAATGTTTTTTATCGAAACCACATGATTTTAATTTATTTTATATTAATTATTGCAATAAACTTGAAAGCGATAACATTTTTGAATATAGAATGAAGAGAGCTTTCAAACGATATATCACAAGCCTACACTTCCCATTTAAAAAATTGGAGGTTGTACCTGTCATTCGACGGGGGTTGAAGGTAGAGGTAGCAATTTTCCGTTGTAGTATGTAAAATTATAATTTAAATTTGACGTGTTTCGGGATTTTGTTAAAATATGTACTGTTACCGAAATAATGAATTTATTCCATTTGGCTTTTACACACTGTATAGCAGAAATAACACATGACACCAAATAGAACCCTGTGGAACATCTATGTTGGTATCCGCTAATGTAGAGTGTGTAGCCCTCAAACTCATTGCATTGTTTATTTCTCGAACATACATACTGGTTGTGATTTTGTAGAAAGCTTTGTAATCCATGTCAGTGCATTATCTTCCACACCATAATATTATAGCCTCTCAATCAAAATATCGTGATCCACACAGTCGAAAGCCCTACTAAGATCAAAAAATATCCCAACAGGGCACTCGCCAGCATCAATAAGGCGCATTATTTCGATATACAAACGGTGTACGGCAGATGCTGTTAACTTTCCTGGTCTGAACCCACGCTCATTTTCCGAGATTATTCCGTTAGTTTCAAGAAAACATGACAGGCGGTCTAAAAATGTGTATTCAAAAATTTTTGAAAATATAGATGCAATCCTCAGGATCTGAAAAAACTGAAAACAAATTTCAAAATGGATTTGAATAAAATTTCTATGATTTCTTTATAGTTTCAAACCAAATGTCTAAATAAATTGCAGTGATTTTCTACGATATTCCAATATAATATTTTTTTTGTGTTTCGATGAAAACATTGTCGATAAATTCCTTGGAATTTATTATATATATATATATATCGGAATTTCATCAAGTTTTGTAGGATTTTTTTACCTTATTGTTTAGATTTTTCAGCTCATTCTAAAGTATTTAAGGAATGCAAGAATCTTTGCAACGTGATCCCAAACACCAAAATAGTGTTTTTTGTCAAGAATATAGTATGCAAAAAATAAGAGACAAACAGCTCTCCAGAGATTTCGAAATAATCAACTGGAACAATATTGGGTATGGGGTATTGGGATACAACGTATTTCTGAACAATCTAAGCAAGGGCTATAAAGTGCATTTCTTTAATGTCCCCCCTCCTTTTATTTTTCGAAGAGTCAACTCAAAAAATTGAAATTTGAGATAATGAAATGAATGCATGAATACTTCATTTTGAAGTGAAATTGACAAATAACTTTCAAGATGGCGTCAGGGCGCCATCTGGGAAAAAAATTGAATAGAAAGGGGGGACTTGTGACCATCATTTTGAAGCTCTCGACGAATACTTTACAACCCCAGAATACAAAGTCGATATCTTCACCTACTACAAAATGGCGAAACATTTAATAATTTCCTGGAGACAAACACATTAATATTGATATTTCTAGAAATATTCCTTTTTATCTGCCTTATGGCAATTCCAACAACCTGATAAGGTTTGTTAAGGTATTTTTTGTTCATAAAAACGACAAAAAATGTCAGTTCGACAATCAACATCATTGTTCAGTTATAATATTCTTATTTAATTTTCGATTTTACTAGTAGAAAGGTACCACGTCAACAATCTCTAAAATGATCAATTCTCGTCCTTCGGAAAAAAAATTGAAGAGATTTTCATTTACGGTACGACGCGTAACTTTCATGAGACCGAAAGGATTTTCAAAGAACGTTTTCCGAATCGTCTTATCTGTACATAACAAAAAGCCCCCAGGTCATCCGTCCATTCCGGAAGAACAGCAAGTAAAAATAATTGGTGAGATGGTAGTAGATCATGAACAGTCTACTTATTCCGTCGCGAATGTTTGTGAGGTGTCTCCTTCTACTGTGTGGAGACTTTTGGAGAGGAATAAGTATCATCCATACAAAACTAAAATGGTACACCAATTAACTGAAGATGAACCTGATCGAAGAACAGCATTCTGACGGAATCCATTGCAAGACATCCTACCTATCCCCACAATATTCTTTTTAGTGACGAATGTACATTTTTTCCAACGGCAATGTTCACAGACAAAATTGTCGTTATTGGAGTGACGCCAACCCTCACGTTTTCCGCGAAACACATACCCAATATCCAGGAAAAATTAACTTTTTTGGGCAGGAATATTGGGAAACCATATTTTAGGACCTCTATTTATTGAACTGTATTTGAATATGCTGGAAACTACTGTTGACGCTCTCATAGTGATGAGAGCGATTTCAGACGATTTCAGTGAATCGTCGAAGCGAATCCTAATCAATTCGAAATGGATATTGGATTCCAAAAAGATGGAGCACCACCACATTACTCCAGACAAGTAAGAAACTATTTGGATACTACTTTTTCCGGTCGTTCGATTGGCCGTCGAGGTCGAGGCCAGCCCGCTTGCCAGATTTGACACCTTTGGACAAAACTGAACCTGCTTCAATATTGGATATACGGCAGAGAATAACAAATATTTGTAGAGATATTGACGTTACTGTGTTCGAAAATGTTCGGCGTGAAATATCGGATAGGATCTTCATATGTCAAGAAGTTCAAGACAATCATTTCGAGCATCTCGAGCTTAATACCTCATATTATGTAGTTAAATGTCAATATATTCAGGCAATTATTAAAAGTTCCGCCATTTTGTAGTAGTTGAAGATATTGACATTATATTCTAGGGTTGTGAAGCATTTGTTAGGAGTCATCTTGAATGGTTTATCTGTTAATTTTATCATCTCAAATTCCAATTTTTTGAGTTGACCCGTTCAAAAAATAAAAGGGGGGGACATTAAAGAAATGCACTGTATAGCTCTTGCTTAGATTGCTAAAAAATACGTCGTATCCAGAAAACACAATTATAATTTGTACGAATCATCTGAAATTCGTAAATTTGAACACATATCAGTTACAGATAATCGTAAACAACTCAAATGGCTCACTATGTACAACAGAAGACGACATCATATGGGTTGCATGTTCTACAATATACTCACATCGGGTACACCTCCCTATTTACACATAAAACTGAAATTAAAAACTGACATTTGTCAACAGATATTTCTTACAATCCCAAAACATTCCATAGAGATGTACTGCCATTTTTTCTCTTACAATGTCGCATCATGCATCATGATGATCAAGTTTACATGCATCATGTAAACTTGATAGTTCACTTTCGAATTTGCCCAGATATGCAATTAGCCATAAATTCAAAGGGTATTTTGATGAGCATTCAGTAAATCTAACTTAGCATCTGAAACACTCTCTATTTCGTTACTGGTCTGACCCAATTTTTCCTTTCATCTTTTGACTATTTTCCACTATTCTTCTGTTATATTCCTCCCGATTTCAAATAAAATCTGTTGAAAATAATTCTACTAAATTTTTATTCAGAACTTTCTTGGCACCGGTGCGGAAGAACAGAAATAGTGCAAAACTGTTATCTGAATCGGATTGCCAATTATTCATCATGAACATGTTATGTATCGTTTCATATAGCTTTGTCTAATATCATATCCTTAGTAACAATATTTGTGCAACATTTGACATTTTTAGAAAAGGTAAATAATAAAGATATTATTATTATGAAGCTCAAGTCCTTCCAAATACTTTTTACTCATCACAATTTTCAATTGAATGTTTTCATTCTAATTTGAAATCAAATAAAGATATCTTCCAAAAAACAAAAAAATAAATGTACCCAATTATCCATCTAACTGTGATCTTTAATAAGTGAAGTTCTTAGATGACTGGTTATCAAATCACAATATTTTAAAGTTAACTTAAATCTGAAAGTCAGTTTATAATGGGAACGAAAGATTTTGGCTTCTTATTTCTCCAGCTTCATACAAACAAAAAATGTGGGAATTTTCATAAAAAAGGAAGACAGCAAATAATTTCGAAAAGAACTCGTTATAAAGATGGAGAAGTAGAAAGCCGAAACCTTCTTTCCCGAAAAATAAGTTCTCCTAAAAATATACCCCTTTTAATTCAAATTCGTTCATAATATTATGTAAAAATTCAGATCGCCTAGTTTTTGTATAAAACATGTTACATCAATGGGCGTTATTTTAAATCCTTCAGGTTACTTTTTAGGTAATCTCAAACATTCGGATGATTTGAAATGTTTCAATAAATATTTGCTATTTACCTTTTTTATTGTTTTCCTCCATTGTTGTGCTCACAAAGTATCACGTCATTTTGAGATGGAATAATAGTTCAGTGCAATCTCAAACGCTGACAAAAGATAAAATTGTTGATTATCTTTGATTGAATATACAGGTTTGGACTAGAAACTGTAGAAAACAAATATTCAAGTACAAACACGCTGTTATGAAAGTGCATCAAATATTACTTTTATTTTTCTTTCTGTGAAAGATGTACCACGAGTAACCTTGTATGAACTAAAATAAATAAGTATGATTTGGAACGATCAACACAGATAAATCAGTTTTCATTGCAGTTTTTCCGCTGAGGGACGCATCAACTTGTTTTTGAAGGTTTCGAAAATCGTCGACACTACCGTTTGGGTACGCAATTTGAAAAAACACTATTGACACGTTAGGTCTGTACTTTAGATAACCTGAATGAGATACCTATGTATTTGTTTACTACAAATTGACATATATCTGCATATCTAGATTGGACGATGTCAGTATATAACTTTGTTATCGTTGTAGATGAGCGGGTATATAATAGTTTCATTAAGTAATTAGATAGGTAGATATATTTTAAGATAAATAGGAAAGAAGCAAGAATTTCATAATGAAGAGAGAAAAATTGAAACTTTCTATGTTTTTTACCACTTTTATTTGTAACTAATGTTACTGCACCCGCAATGTTTATGTTTGTGAATTTCCAAGGATTCCAAATAATTGAGTTTGCAACCCTTCCTTGCAAAGTGGAAAAATTTCATATCGTTTAGATTCGGGAACTTGTGGTTGCATGCCAAGGAATGGTTTGAAAACGTCGAATCATGTTTACCTAGTCTGAAGGACCTTTCATGTTCAACATACCGTTTTTGGAAATTTCGACCACATTGTCCCACATAAACACTATTATACTCCAGCAGACACTTAAGCTTATAAACTCCAGATTTCTCCAACTTGTCCACTTTATCTTTAGCATTGAAAAGGAAATCAGATAACCTAGCATGTGGTCTGAATGCCACTTCCACATTGTTTTTTATGAAGAAACCCGCAATTATCTCTGATCTTTTGTTTGATTGTTTGATCTAAGGGTACATTAATCTGTAAGTGAATTTACAGTTTTGTTTTCTGACTAACTTCTGGATTGTATCTACGTTGAAACCATTATTATTACTTATCTGTGTAATTATATCAATTTCCCTAGCTAGATTCTTAGCAGGCAAAAGCAGTGTGCTTTGTGCAATATCGAATTGTACGCTGCTAATTTATGACTGTCTACATGGAAAGAATCATTTGGGATGGTAATGTTTGTATAGCTAGGTTTTCTGAAAACATTGAACTCAAATTTATTCTGATTGTGTGTAATGGTCAGGTCCAAGAAATTTATCTGTTTCTCTATCTCTGTTTCGAGTGTGAACTGAATGTTGCTATTGAGATTTTTCATGAATGTCATAAATTGGTTCAGCTGTCGTGTAGCAACTATGTCTGAACTGTAAGTAACTCTGATTTAGGCACACATCGAAAGCTGTTGAAATTTCAAAGAGAGTGATATGGTCTACATTGGCTTCATCTAAAATGAGGGGCTTACATTCGTTGTACGGTATGTTGGAGAACATACTCTTTACATCGAATGAAACTAAAATTGAATTATGTGGCGTGGTTTGGTACCTTATGTTTTCCACTAAAGTTAGTGTAAGTTTCAATTTTCTTCTCTTCATTATGATTTCCTACGACGCAGTAACGGCTACATCCATCAATTTATTGAAAAAATTCCATATTCAGTTGTGGAATTAGCCGCGGTGGTAGTGTGCCCACTCACGATAGGAAAGCCGTGGATTCGATTCCCGCCTCGACCAGATATTTTTCTCGAGAGAATTGATCTGGTTGAAGCTGGGATGATTCTGCAACCGTGTTAGGAATCACACGTTGAAAGGTAAGGCCTTGTTAGTTCTTAGCTCGCACAAGATTCTCAACTTCTGAGAGTTGTCGTTATTATGGGGGCGACAGCTGATTAACGGATAAACAGATTTTGAACAAACTTTTTTTTTCAATTTGTGTTTTATCGTGATGGAAAAACATGAGACGTATCTGCGTTCTGCTTTTTCGAAAACTAAAAATGGGATGAAACAGCAGCTAACGACAGACGGAACAAAATTTTGTTTTGAAAAATGTGGCATATGAAGGTCGAGAATATGTGAATGATGACGCTCGCTCTGGACATCCCAGCACATCAACAACCGATGAAAATGTTGGGAAAGGGAAGAAAATTGTTATCGAGATTCGTCAAATCACTATTAGAGAAGTTGCTTAGGATATCGACTGGCTCATGCCATGCATTTTTTTTTCGTAAATTTCGGGCATGAAGCGTGTGGCAGCAAAGTACGTCCTAAATTGCTGAATTTTGGCTAAAAAAAACCGTTGCATCAGCATCGCTAAGGAATTATTGAATCCAAATTTGCCTGAAAGGGTCATAAACGGTGACGAATCATGAGTATGACATGGTTATGACATCGAAACCAAAGTCTAATCGTCCCAATGAAAGAGCCCAGGAGAGCCAAGACCAAACAAGCACGCCAACTTCGATCACATGTCAAGGTTTTGTTCACTGTTTTCTTCGATTACCGTGACGTAGATGGATTTGGCATCGTCATTGCTTGTTCGTATTTTTTGGCCAAACACAACACCGTAATCATGTTTCAGCCACCGTTTTCACCACATTAGCCCCCCTGCTAGTTTTCTCTGTTCCTAAGATTGAAGAGACCCATGGAAAGATGACGTTTTGCGAAGATTGATGAGATAAAAATCTAATTGATGAGAGAACTCAAGAGCATACCAAAAAGTGCATATCAGAACTGTTTCGAGAGTTGGAAAAAACGCTGGCACGTGGCATATAAATGAGGACCACAAAATGAAAATAGATAAATGAATGACTATTTTTTGAAAAAAATTAAAATTCACCTTATTTCTTGAACAGACAGCGTATTCATTACCAAAATTGAGCATTTATAAAAACATTTTTTATGTTCGACTTCTAAATGACTGTATCTCTGAAAGTTGAAATTTTTGGAAGAAGTTAACAAGATTACCCACCCCCGATTTTCTCCTGCGAAAAATCTGGAAGTATTCCTGTAATGTATATAATGAATGATCGGGGTACTGAAGTATAGAGATGAGGACGAAATATAAACTTTAAGTAGTATTATAATTAGTTTGAGAAAATAATAAGATGGGCTTTCTTTTTGATGATTCAAGCATACGTAATTCGAGTACAGACAGAAAAATCCATGAATTGAAAGTCGGTCTCATTATGCTCTAAAATTAAGTCGACACACAACTCTAGTAATTCAGGACTATAGGAGGAGATAATTTATGATACTGTTGTAAATCATGCCCTAAAGAAAATAACGCCAACCGCCACTGGTAGCCATGAACCAATTGTGACGTGGCGAAGAACGCGCTCAGTTCGACCGAAATTTCGTGGATGTTCGCACCGAATCGATGGAATTCCCAGAGCATATTCATATTCTACCGACTTTGATAGAATTACGGGAATGTTCCGGCGCCTTCGATTGCCAAATATAAGCGCCATCCACTCGCCCATCGACACAATCAAGTGTAAGTTACAGTGCATTTAAAGTCATTAATTAGTGTTCAGTGTAGTCAATTATTGGTTAACTCACGGGAAAGAATGTAACAATATGATGATCTGCAGACAGAAATGAGAAGAGGAAATTCATTTTGGACCATACCTCAATATAGCAAATTTCTTGGAAATAGAAGCCACCTACAGCGGCTTGGTGGGGTGATTTTCGAAAATACTAGTTGGAAGAATTTCTATAATGAATTTTTAGAGTGCAAACTGAATAGGAAAACGTTTTTCTCATCTGAAAGTACCTACTATGCATGATCTACATATCTTTGTGAAGAGTTTATTCTGAACATGAATGTTTTCTTCCTTCCTTCGGAAGTTTTCCCGAAAACTAATCTCTCCTAAAAATGTACTTCTTTAATTTGAACTTTTTGCTTTGTTGGAACAGCTACAGATAGTCATTGTTCTTTCAGTTATATAGATGTAATGACCACCATTTGCGATAGTGGGGTATCAGTCAATTAAAGAATCTATTTAGTTAATAGTCCAAACGACCCATCAACCTTATTATTACGTTGCATATTTCTACCAACAAAACGCAGCACATGAAACAGCACTCTCAACGAGAAATGGGAAAAATGGTACATAAATTGAAGCTACACGATAGTTTAAAAAATATTTTTGAAAGTGAATATCTATTAGATAAATTGATTCATAGTTGGTAAGCTAATTTTAGTTAGCTCAGACATTACCTGAGACAGTAATGCTTGTTTGGTGCAGGTGATAACTTCAAATGGCGAATATTCAGGCCAATTCAATAAATGTATCCATTGGAAAGCATTAATAACGATGCAAGGTCAGCGGATCATGAAATGTTTTTTCATAAATGTGCAGTGAATTAGGTTGACCTGAAAGGTTCCAATATTTTGTGTTTATCTTTTCACGGTCCGCAGCGGTTGGCTGTGGAATACTAATCGCTTTAAAATTCAAAGTAGTAAGACAGACAAGAAATAAATTCATAAAACTTGAGTTAAGTGCTACCCAGTGTGATCCTAACACCCATAAATATAGGGTTTTTTATTAACCGCCTCTTATCTTGAAATTCAAATGAAGCAGAGTGTGTGTGAGATATCATGGAATTTTTTTATCCGTTTGAAAGACATATTGATGCAATTATGTGTGGGATATAACATCGTTCAAATGTCTCAATAACTTGAGAAAACCCCACAAGAAAAAGTCTAACGGGGTCAAATCTCACGATCTCGTTGGCCAGTTCACATCACCTCCACCATGCCCTCAAATCGCTAGTGCAGGATATCCAATGTGGCATGAGCTGTCTGACATGTAGCGCAGTACTGTTGAAACCAGATGTCGTTGGTGTCCAGATCATCCAATTCAGGACAAAAAAAGTTGGTTATCATCGACATATAGTGCTCACCGTTGACAGTGATGGTCCGACCAACGTTGTTCTCAAAGAAATATGGACCGATGACGCCGCCAACCCAAAATCCACATTAAGCAGTGAAATTTTTGGGATTCATTGGTCGCTCTTGAATCCCATGTGAATTGGTATCGTCCCAAATTCGACAGTTATGTTTGTTCACGTCCCCATTTATCCAGAAATGGGCCTTATCACTGAAGATGATTTTTCGATGGAAATTAGGGTCAGTTGCCAACTGCACCAGAGCCCATTCAGCGGACAGACACCGTTGTCTACGGTCGTTTATCTTCAGTTCCTTGGTCAATTGCAGGCTCAAGCCACGACGCAAAATTCGCCAAGTTGTGGTCTGTAAATGGCCGAGTTTTTGTGAGTGATATGAAATCGACTGCCTCGGATTCTTCTGCACACTCTCACAGACAGCGGCGATGTTTTCGGCAGATTTTGCGTTTCATCCACGTACGGACATTGGTCGATTGTTTACCGAACCAGTGGACTCAAATTTATCCACCACATTACGAGTAGTTCTCTCGGTGGGACGATTATGGCGACCGTAAATGGGCGAAGCGCTCTATACGTTGCCGAACAGAACACCCATTTTATTATCTGCGCGTGTTCCTGAATGCTTTATCCATCCATGGTGATTTGGTAAAACAGACTGAATGAATAATAATGATAATATATGTTTATTCTCTCGTACACTGATATAAATTACATGGAGTGCTATCGAAAATAAACCAGATAATCACAGAAGCCATAGATAATAATAATAATAATAATATCTATAGCTTGTTCGTGATGAGACTATGTTGTGAATTAAGTGTATAATTACTTTTACATTACATTTACATTTCATTAAAAATAATGAGTGATCAATCGATTAATGAATAAATAATAAATAAACCTAATAACAGAAACAGTATTTACATACAGAATACATAGTTATTTTCATCTACTCAATAATTGCTTAGGTCAAATTGCTGTTTGGAATAGTTTTATTAATGAAGTCAAAAAAAGTTCTTTCGGTATTAATAATAAATTTCTTAACTTCTCTTTCAAACATAGAAGAACTGTTGATATTTTTTATTTCTCCTGGTAATATTTGGTATAAGCGTGGTCCGAGATATGTTGCGTTTCTTTGTCCTATAGTTTTGTCACATCGTGGTGCATTTAAAAAGTTTCCCTTTTTCCTAGTATTGTAGAAGTGAATGATTGGTTCTATTTTGATGTTTCCTTTTTTAACATTACTCAGTATGCTGATACAAAAAAGTTGTGGAATATCACATACACTTGCTTCTTTAAATAAGGTCTCAAATGGATGCGTCTTTATTTTAATAAATATAATTTTCAGTATCCATCTCTGTAGGACATTTAGATTCCTAAGATGACAATCATTCACTCCTCCCCAACCTATTATATCATAGGATAGTTGTGATTGTACAAGTGCAAAGTACAATGTTTTCAAATACTGAATGTCGAGAAATTTTTTTAGGAGATTGAACTTAGAAAGTGTACCTCTCAACTTTCTGATTATTTCTTTCATCTGTAGGTGCCATCGAAAATGCCTATCTATATAGATACCTAGATATTTTATTGACTCGCCTTCAGGTATTTGATTATTATTTCCTATATTTAAGTATCCCATGTTGGAATGTACTGCAATTTGATGTGAATGGTAAATATTTGTTTTTTTCGATGACATGACAATGACAAATGATATGGCAGATGTAGCTTCAACAAGATGGCCGTTATCAATTGTCAAAATTAAAAAGTCCCTGTTGGGACTAAGTGTATATTGCAATAAAAACCTAACTTTAATTTGAACTGAATTGAAATGGTTTTGACTATTGATGTTGACCTTCTATTCACCCAAAATATCCTCGAAGTTCCACTTGCAAGTTTTCACTTGCGGGGAACGTTCTTTCAGGAAGTTGGAGAGCCATAAAGAAAAATGATCCGACAAGCCATAACATCGAAGTTTGGCCAGCAAACCCTCATGCCACACACGGTCAAAGGCCTTAGGCCCGGTTCCATAATATCGGTCAAAAGCACACTTTACCAAAAGGCGCCTTTTCTCAAAAGTCGGCTTTAAATTTCCCAGGTATTCCATAATCGAATGTAAAGTCGCCTTTAATGAAAGTGCGGTTTTCTTGCATTGAATGATAGTTGGCATCACTGAGCGTACATAAAGTGGGGTTAAATGTGTTTGTTTTTGTTCGTTTTCGCGCTTCGCTGCCTCTGGATTTTTAAGTACTTTGTTTCTTTTCGTGTTGATGGCTTCAAGCAGTTGCAAGAAAACAAAGGCATCGCCCTTCAGTAAGGAAGAGGAGCTGCGGTTAGTGGAGAAAATCTATGAAGAGAGGAAGTTCATAGAGAACAAAGAAACAAACAAGGTTTCAAATACTGCGAAGGTGAGTTCATTCCAGTTTGTAAAGAATGTGACTGCTCATATCTGAGTAACATTAGATATAATTGCAGGAAATGGCATAGGTACGGATTTGCGCTTCATTGAACACCAACACTTTAGAATTCAGAGATGTCGACCAACTAAAGTCAAAGTATGACAACCTCAAAACAAAAACGAGGAAACAAGTGGCGAAAGAGAAAAAATATGAGAAGGGCACTGGTGTTGGATTCTTCATACCAAAGATGGACGACCCAGTTATGGACATGATTCTAAAAATTGTGAATGCAAAAACGGTTGTAGGTCTCACAAACCCAAACGACGATGACAATGTGAGTAATTATTGAAATATCTTTGAATATATTTATGAAATATTTTTTTATTTCAGGCAAATGAAACAATTTTGGAGAAGATGGATGAAGATCTTAGAGAAGATTCAGATGTCTCTCTTATTGAACCGCCATTGCTCAATGAAAAAATGGAAGTATGTAATTTATTGGTTTTAAATGTTTATAGTTTGACTATTTTATAAAGGATTTTTAATCAATGATTTTTAAATTGCAGGTGGTTCTTGCAGAGGAACTGCCATCTGATGAAGTTAGCATATTGATGCAATCAATCAGATCAATGAGATTAATTTTAGGTGCAAATTGCGAAACCGTCGTGCCATCAAACACCCACATCAAAAAATGTGCTTAAAGGAAAAAAGAATCTCCCTGGATGTTCCAGAAACGTAAGTTAAAATAAAATTGCTCTTGAACAAGTTAAGCATTTATTTATTTAAAGGTTGCTTCAGAGAAAGTTACCAACTGGGCGGATTATAATCCTTATAAACTGAAACAATCTCCGTCCAAAAAGCTGCGACCTGTTATGCAGAGTTTATTAAGAGATTCGAAAGAATTTGATTACAAAGTCATGGCAGAAACCATGAAGGACGAACTGGAATTGAAAAAAAAAGATGTCAGGGAGCAGGAGATACACGAGTTGAAGAAGGAGAAAAAGAATATTGAAATTGAATTGTTAAAACTCGATCTATTACGAAAACAAATTCAGTAAATGTTTCAAAAATGATTCTTTATGAAACTTTATTTTTTCTATGTACAATTTCAATATAGATTATCTCTTTACAAATTTGCAAAATGATTGTTTATTATAAGCCTTTGCATGTTTCTGCCTCCGTTCAAAACATTTTCATCATCTTGGTCTCCTCCTCCTTCTTCTTCTTGTTCTTCTTCAACTTCAATGTCTTCTTGGACAAGTCACTCAGGTAGAGGTTCATCGCTCCAATCAATAGCCATATTATGTAAAACCGCTGTTGCTATAATGACGGCTATAATGGTGTTAAGTTTGAGGCGCATTCCGACGCTCAGAACTGGGAATTGTTTTTTCCACACACCATATTGTCTCTCCACAACATTTCTTGTTCTGATTATAGATTCATTGTATAAATTTTCTGCATTCATCATGACCCTGCGCAACTTGGTCGTCAAGTATGGTTCAAGATGATAACCGCTGTCTCTTATCAAAATATATGGCTCATACTCGTCACGCTCAAACTCATTCTTCAAAATACTATTTTTAAAAATGGTTTCGTCATGAGCCGAGCCTGGCCAACGAGCGACAATGTTCTTTATTCTCAGGTTTGCATCGCTAACAGTTTGAACATTGAGTGCCAAGAAGTTTTTGCGAGACCTGAATATTTCAGCGACGGAACCTCCGACATAATCTATTCTAACCAGTGTGCAATCGATGGCATCTATAACTCTGGGGAATCTTGATATTCTATAAAATTTTTGGGCATCATTTTCCATCTCTTCCCTGGTAGATCTCATGTTTATGTACCATTTCTTTAGACCTGCTATCGCACATGACACCTTTTTTACTATTCTACATGCGGAAGTTTTTGAAATTCCCATGAAATCTCCCGCAGTTATTAGAAAGTTTCCCGTCAGACAAGTTTTCAGACACAAACTGAAAGAAAGTCCTCCTGAAACAGCTACTTTCATATAAACATTGAATTACACAAAAGAAAAAATTCTTTCGAAACAAATACTTCTATATGAACACTGAATTATACAGAAGATACTTTTCTCTACTCAGTTTGTATTTTAAACTTTCGTTGTGGAATAAAAATCAGATATCGTTCACATGAGTTCTACACATCCATGTATACAGTTACTTATTTTCAAATTGATTACTTCCTTCCTTTCTTTGGAAGATTCCCTCATCCTTTTTTGTTTGAATATTGATTTATTCTGGCTTTGAGCGTGACTCCTTTTCTTAGGAAAATGAATGAGAGTTTTATTGACATTTTTACATTTTTATTTTTTTTAGACAAAAGTGACAGTAGTGCATGACAAGCATATGACATCACAGTATAAGATATTCCAAGAATATTCCCAAGGAATATTCTTAAAATATATCAAAGGTTCGCCAGGAGCACTTCCAGGGAATATTCTCCAGAAGATATATATATCCATGGCATATTCATAGCATAATACAATATCCTCAAATGTATATTCATGAAATATACCTGGAATATCTATTGCTATGTGGGATGTCAGCTACATTTTGATCTGTAGGACAATAAGTGATCTTAAACCATCCTTTCTTAAATTCGTCTTTTATAAGATGATACTTTACATCTATATAAATGCATTTTCTTGTAAGCTGATTGGCCTTGATCATCTTGATACAGCTTGTGTTGTCTACATGGAGAACAACATTGATCTTGTGTTCGAGCAATTCTTCAAGAACGGATTTTACATATTTCATCTCCTTACAGCACTGATCCGCTGCAATGTATTCAGCTTCAGTAGACGATTTGTGCAACAAGGGATTGCTTCCGTGAGCACCAAGCAATTGGTCTATTCGCATATTTCATCAGATAACCAGTGGTACTCTTTTCATCTCCTCCATGGCTTGAGTCGCAGTAAACCTCCAGAGTGTATCTTTTTTATTTTTGTTGGAGTACAGTATACCATTTGTTTTAGTTGCTTTCAGATACCTGATGGTTCTTTTGACATTAGAGACATCATGTCTTTTAGGATTCTTGGTAGATCTGCTTTCGAAATTTACTGCGAATGCAATATCAGGACAGGTTTTGCATGATAGATAAGTCATACTTCCGACTGCTGATTGGTATGGAAAACCTGATTCATTATTCTTCGTTTCCTCATGGGTGTAGTCTTTATGTGCTATAGGAGTGTTTTTCTCCTTTGTGTATCCATCCAAATTATCCTTTGCTATAACTTCTTGACAATATTGTTCTTGATTGATGAATATTCCATCTTCTCTTAGGCTAATTTGGATATCCAAGTAATTCTTTGGTGCACTGTTGACTGTTGTTTCAAACAACTTCTGCATCTTGGACAGCAATTGTTTCATTTCGTTTGGATCTTCAGCTATCACGAGCCCATCATCCACATGAATGGCAACAAATAGTTTCTTTCCTGAAGTGGATTTGAAGACATACTGATCAGTCAATAGCTGTTTCAGCCCTTCTTGTTTGAGGAATTCAGTGAGCCATCTGAACCATTGCTGTGATGCTTGTTTGAGTCCATAGATAGCTTTTCTTAATTTGCAGATTTTTCCATGAACATTGTATCCTTCAGGCAGATGCATATAAATTTATTGTGCCAGATCCCCGTAGAGGAAAGCTGATTTTACATCAAAGGTGCACATTTGTAAATTTTCAGAGGCTGCAATGGCCAGGAGCATTCGAAGAGAATTTGCTTGTACAACAGAGCTGTAGATTTCTTGATAGTCAAGATTCTTCTTCTGCTGACATCCTCTTGCCACCAATCTGGCTCTGTAGCGACCATCTGACGTGATTCTGAAAACCCAGCGATTGGTCAAAATTTCTTTACTCGTAGCACAGTTAGAATTCACTAGTTCCTAAGTCTGATTTTTCTGCAGGCAGTCTTGTTTTTCTTTAATAGCAGTCTTCCATTTTTCTTTATCATGACTCTTCATACAGTCTTTGTAGGTAATAGATTCTTCTACTAACATAACATAATTTTCATATTTCTTTGGTAATCTGACTTGTCTTTGAGGTCTTTGGTTTAGTGGAACATTTTCAGGTTCCTCATTTTCCTCCTCTTCAGACTTAGTTTCTTCATCTCTTGAATCTTGATCTTCTTCAACTTCCATAACTGGTTCATTTACAATTGGATCTTCCTGATGATTTTCTTGATCTTCTGGGTGATCTTCTGGTTCTTCGTCAGCTTGGGCTAGTTCATCATCTTTGGATAAATTCATAAAATTTTCAATTTTGATAGCTGATGGTGCAGGATTTTCCACTTCTTTTATACCAATTACAACGATATCATTGGATGTGTATCCTACCAGAATACCTCTTTTTCCTCGACATTCGGTTTTCTTCAGGTGTCCAAGCTTCTTGGAATATAATTGTGAGCCATAGACTTGAAGATGAGAGAGATCTGGTTTTTAATGAGTCCACATTTCAATAGAAGTGGTATCGATGGTTGAAGATGGTGACCTGTTGTGAAGGTATGCTGCTGTTTCTATAGCTGTACCCCACAGATGATCTGGCAGATGAGCATGATGAAGCAGGGCTCTCATTTTATTGCATAGAGTGTAGTTCATCCTTTCCGCCGTTCCATTTAGTTCTGGAGTATGAGGTATCGTATAATCCAGATGAATACCGTTTTTTTTTGCACCAAGCCTTGAAGTTGTTGGAGCGGTATTCTCCACCATTGTCCCGTCTAATTTTGGAGACTTTCAAATTGTAGTGGTTTTTAGATGCAGCAATGTATTCCTCAAGTAGATCTTCCACTTCATCTTTTGTTTCCATTAGAAAGACTTGCACAACATGGGTAAAGTCATCAATAATGATCATAAAATAATTTTTGTTTTCATATGTGGGTGGAGTGATTTTCCCACATACATGTGTGAATGATTTGGAGTGGCCTTTCTGCCCTTTTATGTTTTGTGTTGAAGGCTTTTCTTATAAGATTGGCACAGGCACATGTCTACAGTTTCAAATTTGCAATTGTTTAGTGAGCATGGCACTCCCTCACACAGACTTGGAATTTTCTTCATTGACTCAAAATTGATATGACCCAATTTTTGATGCCATTTCATTTGTTCTTCTTGGACAGTGAGTAAGGACTGACAATCTGATTTAGCACCGAAGTCAACCACAAATAGACCATTTGAGGTTTTATGCCCTCGCATAACTTCTTTGCCATTTTTGAAGATGGTCACACCTTCTTTCTTGAATATCACCTCACCATTGTTTTCGGTGATTGCATTTACTGACAGTAAGTTCTTGGAAAGTTGAGGCACATAGGACACTTCTTGCAGTGTTACTGCATCTGCTTCGATAGTTCCCAACAATGTTGCACTCAGACCTTGACCTTTCTTGGCACTTGAGATTTTCAGTTGTGACTCTTGTGCATTTATCAGCAAATGATGTTCATTCGTAAGATGAGTGGTACACTCACTATCCACAACAAAGAGAATGTTGCTTGACTTTTCATTATATAGGGCTTCACTCATTGGTGTTTCTTGTTCAACAGTTTCATCGAAAAAGGCAGCTTTCTCATTTTTCTTTTGGTGTGCATTTTTGTAAAAACAGTCTTCTGATGCATGATTGTTTCTTCCACAAAAGATGCATTTGACATTTGAACTTGCAGAGCTGGTACTTGGTGGACCAGTTTTATTTTTCTTTTTGAAGCATTCATCTTCATTATGATTATTGCGACGACAAGTCTTGCAATATTTCTTGTGTGGGCACTGTGGTCTTTTATGGCCATCTTCACCACATTTATGACATACTATTTTATCCCCATTTTTATTTTTACATTTGTTCTTCGCTTTACCTTCAGCATTAAAAGCTGCTGCTGTTGATCAGGTTTGGTTGCCTTCCAATATTCCTCTTCTGAGCAGAGACGTGCCACCAGATTGTCAACACTTTTATTTGCTTGTGGAGTTGATTCCCAGGCACTTATAAAGGAATGATAATGTTCAGGTAGTGAAGCAAGAATCTTTGTAACCAACATTTCTTCCGTTACTTGTTCTTTGAATTTTGAAAGCTTGAAGACTATGTACTTGAGATGACTGATATTATCCATGGTAGCCTCCGCTTTTTCGAACTTGTATGAATGGAATTCTAGCAAGAGCTTTTGCTTTTGATGGGTAGTGTCCCTTCTATAAATGCTTACCAATGTGTTATACATTTCTTTTGATGTACTGCATGCCATAATGTGAGACAAAATGTACTTGTCCACAGTTCTCACAATGATGTATTGGGCGTCATCCCTAATAGCACAGCTTCGTCCATTGGATATCTTCAGCAAGACATCCCGGATATCCATCGGATGACCAGTTTTGTACACCGGACAATGTATGGATATCCTTAGGATATCGCCTTTCCTCATTTTAGGACATCCATATGCCATCCGTAATGGACATCCACATAGTGTCCGTAGTGGAAATCCATATGGTGTCCGTCCTAGACATTTATAGGATGTCTGTTCTGGACATATTATATATAGTTACCGATAAAAACAAGTAAAAAACAAGTATCTATTTTTTTCTTCGTAGTTTTTCTGAACTCTTCTGCCTCGGTCTGGTCAATGAGGGAACTGGTGGATTCCACTGCAGTAATTATCTCCAAAGTGGGCACAGATGTTGGCGTAATGGCTAGTGAAACTAGTGAAATTCATCACGAAACATTGTCAATCACCTTCAAACAAAAGAAAATATTTGTTTTCGAATAGATTTCTTTCATCATGCTGTGACGAATCATCATCCAATATTTCAATTTGAGATTGGATATTATCGATTTGTCGTAAAAGGATTCAAT